AACGCCAGAAACTACTTCTAATTATTGCCCAAATACTATTAATAAAAATCAGCTTTTATGGTACAACTTATACGCATACGCTGACAAACTTTCAGCTTTTATAAAACGACGTAGGTCTGGCGTTCACTAGCTCTTAGTCTATTGTGCAGCGCCCCTAGCGGCTACTTTCAAGAAATAAAATCTTCATAGATTTTTTAACGTACTCGCTAGCGAGCACACCTAACGTAAACTCACAGGTTCGGTTCCCGTCGGGAGCGACAAAAATGCGCATGCAGGAGTATAGGAGGCTGACGTTTGTGTATGTATTTATTTATGTGTATATTTTATTTAGACGCTTTGCCTTGATTTATTGATCAAGAGGAGTATTACTTAAACAAGTGGTATATATGTTACGGTCAAAGTGATAAATGTGAAAATTATGAATAATCGCCGGTTATTATGAATAATTACCGCATGATTTGGTAAATGTGATTAATACGAGGTCATTTATGTGTGTATAAAACTAAATAGGCGGCTTAGGGGTGGCCCAAGGNTGTTTAAAGTAAGAGTGCTAAGAGCGGATTTTACGAAACTCCACCCCTAATGGAGTAAAACGAGGTCCACGCGTACGAAGTCGCGGGCGGCCGCTAGTTAGTTCATAAGGGCATTACAAGAACCGGTTGAAATCAGTCATCAATGTTAGTACCAAACTACCTACTCGGACAGGGTTGCCAGAAATCCACAGTGGGATTGCAAAATTTGCACTACGAACGCTTTTCCGGGAACGAGAAGTGGGATTAAACAAGCCCCTTAAATAGCTGCGGGCCATTTTCAGAACGTTACTCTATGTTGTCTATGAACATAAATCTGTGCATACTTAGGAACTCGTGCACGTAGATGGAGTGAAGGCCGCGGGAAGATCATCGTGAGGTGCACGACTCGTAGTCGCACATACCGATGATAGCACGAACACTGTCTCTTTGTCGCTTCATGAAGAACCACACACCGCTTATCGCGATCCATAGACACTATGTCGTCTATGATATAAGTCTAGACTCACTTAGGAACTCGTGCACGTAGATGGAGTGAAGGCCGCGGGAAGATCATCGTGAGGTGCGCTAGACTCGTAGTCGCGCATATCGATGATAGCATGAACACTGCCTCTTTGTCGCTTCATGAAGTACCACACCTCTTATCGCGATCCATAGACACTATGCTGTCTATGATATAAGTCTAGACTCACTTAGGAACTCGTGCACGTAGATGGAGTGAAGGCCGCGGGAAGATCATCGTGAGGTGCGCTAGACTCGTAGTCGCGCAAACAGAAGACAGTAAGAACACTGTCTCTTTGTCGCTTCATGAAGTACCTACCACACACCTCTTATCGCGATCCATAGACACTATGTCGTCTATGATATAAGTCTAGACTCACTTAGGAACTCGTGCACGTAGATGGAGTGAAGGCCGCGGGAAGATCATCGTGAGGTGCACCGGTTATTATTAATAATTTTCAATTTATCACATTAACCGTAACATATACACGTGAGTGTATACAGTGTGGTGTGTACTTGGTCGGCCACTTCATCCAGGAGGCCGAATTGAACGTCGCCGAGGAAGCGCTAAATAGTGCCCGCGGTACGTACGTCACAGGTTCGATTCCCGATGGGAGCGAGCCGTATGGCATTCGCATGCAAGCAGGAGTATAGGAGGCTGACGTCTATGTGTGTATGTATTTATTTAGTCGCTTTGTTTAAATAATGACAGCATTTAGACCTGAAGAAGGAGGTATTTGTACTGAGTGGGTGACCTTTTTGACAGCATTTTTTTTTCTTTATCATTATTGCATGTATATTTGTTGCAAATAAATATTTTTCTTTAATTCTAGCTTTAGATAATTATTATTATGTATACCTAATTATAAATTTAAACAATAATGGCGTCTTAAACTAGTCTGATGAATTTTTTCAAGTTATTTATATTTTAGTCTGATGGAATCTGATAGGTGTCCTTAATTTTCCCAATTTTTTTTTAAATCTGTACTGAACTGGGCTTGCTCAGACAATGGGTTATCATAATTCTAGTTGAAGGATTTCGCGTGCAAGTAAAGTTTCGATGGTGGTAAGGTAATAGGTAAAAACTTACGAAGTGTAGAATCAACCAATATGTTACGCTGATCCTACAGAAACGCTCCACAGCGCCCATGGTACGTGTTACTGCACCTGACCACCCACTCACTCGCTATAGTTAAAATTTCATTTCACACCATAGTAGTAGTACCAAGTAACTGTTGAACTTAATCAGGGAGAAAGATCGACGGCAGACTTCAAGAGGCCTTGCCTTGCCTACAGCCACTAACTTTACCCGGGTGACCATCGTTTAGATCTCTTTCTGATTGGCTCTCATACTGAAACACTGTGCTGTTTTGTTTGTTTTGGCCGCGATTTGGATCGTAGTGGCGGCAGCGAAACGCGAGGCGTGCGCCGGTCGCAACTCCGGACGACAGTCGGTATTGAACAACCAGGATGACTTAGCGTATGGTATGTACTTTTATTATGTTATTGTGACGCGACGGAGAACCTGAGAGCAACGTTTACACAGTGAAAGGACGGTCCCTTATATCAGCAGCATGGTAATCACACACTGGTGCATAAAGCGAATGTATGCATCTGGCAGTTTAACATAAATTAACAACTTTATGAGTGTAGTTTTTGAATTTTTAGCATTAAGAGATGCATCTCAAACTAATTTGAATATTATAAATCAATTCCCGCGTTAGGCAGTTCAATTTTTTTCAAGTTTTTTATAATTTTCTGAGTGAAAATATGGTGTCCAAAGGAGTGGTAAGGAGGATATGAGTGCATTACTAAAGTGTTTTTATATTCATTTTGGTCTATAAATAATCATGAATGTTGTCATGTATGGCTTGTGTGTGTTAAAATGCATTATTTTCCTGATATTAATAGATCAATTTTGCCTTCACAGAGTTATTCCCCCAACTGGATCATCAGAAGCGGGTGATCGCGAAGAGTATAAAAAGGAAGAAGTCCAAGAAAGATCGGACCAGTCCGACTTTATCGGAGCGAGAGGCGTCGCTCAAGCGCATGAAGTTGGACGACAGGGTGCCCAAAGCGTACCGCTTGGACCAACAACAATCGGACAGCTCGGACGAAAGCTGCGGGCCGGTTCTGTCCGACGACGAGGCTAAACCGGCTAAGTCCGGAGATGATTCAGGTCTCGACAGCGATACAGAAACTAATACAGATCGGTTAGAAGACGTCAAAGTCAGCAGCTTAGTTAGCGATATGGAGAGACTGAAGGAAGACCTAATCAGGCGCAACGAGTACGATAAACTCAAGGAGAAGTGCATGCGGTCGGAATCCGATGACGATTTTTAGATTTCACAAAATTTAATTTCAGAAGACTTTTTAATCAGTGCTCATAATAAATATGTTTTTATTTACGCGTAGTAGATGTGATATAGTTAAGATTTAATTCTCAAGAAAGTAATTTTAAGCAAACATTTCAAATCACATAAATTTTTATAATTTGACAAAATCAATATCTTTTAAGTTTAATCTAGCACTAAGAGGTAAATGTGATACTTTGCGATTAAAAGATGATACTTGCTCGAAATATATCTTTGATTTAAAAAAAATCCTATGTAGGATAAAACAATAAACACAGGAATAGCTACTCAATATAGCGCAATTCAGTTGGCTCAGTGCTAAGAACCTATCGCGAAGTTCACCTTAAAACGTGCCGTCTTTTGCTACCGCGTTTTTCTTACCTTTTTTCGACGGTAAGGTTGCCAATTTTTACATCTTCATTTATAATTAATAGTATCAGGCATTACTTTGCGGAAATCCATAATAAGATATTAAAAATAAAAATTACTTAGCTTAAAATTTCCGCTCAGTGGTTACACATTTTTTTTTATAAAAAAGAAGTTTAATAAACTACGGAGTGACATCGCACAGATTGGATAATGTAAGGAGTTACAGCGAGTCACTAAAATAGCAGCGGTTGTAAGAATAGAGATATATTAGCATCACAATAGAGTATATTTGTCGCAGTCAGATTGTATAATCCGCCGTTTTACATTACAGCTAGGCATTTTGCATTACAGCTCTGTTTTGTAATACGGCGGATAAACGTTTAGCCGGATTGAATACGGCTGAATGAAAATCCGCCGGAATGTATTCGGCGCCAAACGTTCTTCAATACGGCTAGCCGTAATGTAAAACAGCGTGTCATTACCCGCCGCTTTGACAGTTTTTAGTTCCTATTTTCAATACCGTGGCACTGCCGGACAAAGTGGCTATGGATTCTGGTGTTCGGCGGAATCCTACACAATATTATTAGTGTAAAAATATGAAATCATGGCTGTGGCCGGTGAAGATAATTTTATCTTAAAGAAAAATAACCCGGAAAAAATGACTAAAACTTTATAGTTTTGAGTTACCTGTTCCCTTTGATCATTTTTAATGTCTAAAAAAGACTAAAGCCAAATATCTAATTAATTCTTAAAATTTTTAGAAAAGTCGAATTGTTTTGATTTACTTTTTTTTTAGATGGCTATCCCTTGTGATTTATAAATAAGTAAAAAAATTACTGAAGCCAAATATATTATTTAGTATACAGTAACGAAGGTAATAAATAATAATTCTTAAAATCTGTCTTATTAAAATTTATTTTCATTAAACATTGTTTTATTTTGTAAGTATGGTCACCCTACAATCTGTAGTAGTACGATGCGGCTAAACGTGGGCCGCCGTATTGAAGAACGTATCGCAATGACAATCCGCCTAAACGTTGAACCGCCGTATTACAAAACAGAGCTGTAATGTAAAATGCCTAGTGGTAATGTAAAACGGCGGATTATACAATCCGACTGCGACATATTGATTAACTGAGCGCGAGCGGTCCGCGCAGTGACAGCCACTGCTTCTGGTGGGCACGTGACTATTTGGACTGTTGGAGGATTATGTGAGGAGTTAGATAGGCTCAATGAAACAACAGAATGTATAAGAATAGTGTATTTATCAACTGAGAGCCACGCAGCAAGTGAGTGCAAGCGGGCCGCTCAAGCGCCCTGCGCGTAACGTCAGCCATTGCTTCTGGTTTGGAACGTACATCTCTGCCGGCATTAGCTGCTCGGGTGAGTCGTTTTCTTTGTCTGTAATAACACAAACACGTGCATATCATTAATACTTTGCATTTGATTTGAATAAAAAAAAATTGTGTTCATCGTGCATCATCATAATTTCTGGTTTATTAAAAAAATGCGCGTCGCTTTCGTTTGAATCCAAGAAGTCCTCCTGTGGTTACACCACAAATGCTAGGCAACTAACTGAGACGAGACGTAGGTACTAACTTAAGTACAGTCTTGCAAAAGACAAGCATTTTGGCAATGCGATATACTTTTACAGGCCCTATGATAGCCCTAGTGATGCTCTACCTCTGGGCTTCGGCTTGCACTACTTTTTGGGACAACCTGTATAAAATATAATGGAATGGAAAGAACTTACCGTCTTTTCGCACATGCTGAGAGGCCTGCATAGTGGAGTCTTGCATGGAGATGAGGTCGCCAGGAGCGTGTAGCAGTAACCGACCCACACCTTCGCACCGCCTGTTAAATAACATAAGTAAAACAGTTTAAACTTTAGTTATTGTGTCTACTGTCTTATGCGGTATTTAATCATGTCATTTTTCGCGCAGAAAGCTGGTCATGCTAAAGTAATGAATTCTTACCTGAGGACTTCGTTTTGAAGCATTTGTTTCTTGGCTAAATTTGACAGCGGGTTGCAGTCGTTCAACCAGTTACGCACTTCGTTGAAGTCTGCCAGTAGTTGCGCTGCTGCTTCTTTACTGAAAGAAAAGTTATGACTAAAATAAATAAAATATCGACATTCTTCATTTATCCGGCTTAAAAATTGTGGAAGTAAAACGTATTATTAGTGATGGTTCTTACCTAAATCTAACTTTGGCTACGTATATGTGATGCAGCCACGATTCACACATTATTCTTAGCACCATATTCAAAGTCGTTATGTCGTCAGTCGCCTTGATAACTGGCAGTAGCATTTTATCTAAAATTGAAAAATACGATTAGAACTGAAAATATAGTTTACAATAATCTGAAATCTTAGAAAAAAAAACTTCTAATAAGGAAGAAAAATAAGATTAGCACTGAAAATATTTTATAGTTTACATTAATCTGAAATCTTCCAAGAACTTCCAATCAGTATGACCGGGAACCTTCTACTAGTGAGAAAATCGATTAGGTACCAAATAAGAAATATCATCTACACTNATGGAGTGATCCAGCCGCGGGAAGATCATCGTGAGGTGCGCTAGACTTGTAGTCGCGCATACCTATGATAGCACGAACACTTATTTCTTTATCGCTTCATGAAGTACCACACACCGCTTATAGCGATCCATAGACACTATGCTGTCTATGATATAAGTCTAGACTCACTTAGGAACTCGTGCACGTAGATGGAGTGAAGGCCGCGGGAAGATCATCGTGAGGTGCACTAGACTCGTAGTCGCGCATACCGATGATAGCACGAACACTGTCTCTTTGTCGCTTCATGAAGTACCACACACCGCTTATAGCGATCCATAGACACTATGCTGTCTATGATATAAGTCTAGACTCACTTAGGAACTCGTGCACGTAGATGGAGTGAAGGCCGCGGGAAGATCATCGTGAGGTGCACTAGACTCGTAGTCGCGCATACCGATGATAGCACGAACACTGTCTCTTTGTCGCTTCATGAAGTACCACACACCGCTTATAGCGATCCATAGACACTATGCTGTCTATGATATAAGTCTAGACTCGCTTAGGAACTCGTGCACGTAGATGGAGTGAAGGCCGCGGGAAGATCATCGTGAGGTGCGCTAGACTTGTAGTCGCGCATACCTATGATAGCACGAACACTTATTTCTTTATCGCTTCATGAAGTACCACACACCGCTTATAGCGATCCATAGACACTATGCTGTCTATGATATAAGTCTAGACTCACTTAGGAACTCGTGCACGTAGATGGAGTGATCCGGCCGCGGGAAGATCATCGTGAGGTGCGCTAGACTTGTAGTCGCGCATACCTATGATAGCACGAACACTTATTTCTTTATCGCTTCATGAAGTACCACACACCGCTTATAGCGATCCATAGACACTATGCTGTCTATGATATAAGTCTAGACTCACTTAGGAACTCGTGCACGTAGATGGAGTGATCCGGCCGCGGGAAGATCATCGTGAGGTGCGCTAGACTTGTAGTCGCGCATACCTATGATAGCACGAACACTTATTTCTTTATCGCTTCATGAAGTACCACACACCGCTTATAGCGATCCATAGACACTATGCTGTCTATGATATAAGTCTAGACTCACTTAGGAACTCGTGCACGTAGATGGAGTGAAGGCCGCGGGATGATCATCGTGAGGTGCACGACTCGTAGTCGCACATACCGATGATAGCACGAACACTGTCTCTTTGTCGCTTCATGAAGTACCACACACCGCTTATAGCGATCCATAGACACTATGCTGTCTATGATATAAGTCTAGACTCACTTAGGAACTCGTGCACGTAGATGGAGTGATCCAGCCGCGGCGGGTGCGTGACGCGGCGCCAGGCGGCCGGCCGCGGGAAGATCATCGTGAGGTGCGCTAGACTCGTAGTCGCGCAAACTGAAGACAGCACGAATACTATCTCCTCTGTCGCTTCCTAAAATGATTTGCATTTATTTGAACAGTTGAAGAAGCTATAAGGGTTATTAAAACATTTATGTGTATCAGCAGCAGATAGCTTATCATAAGTTAAACACCGTGGCACCATGTGCTAGGGTGGGTGTACCAGTAACAAACCGAATAAGCGACATTTTAAAAGTAATTTTGATATTGTGACTCAATTATTACAACAATCATTGCAAAAAAAAGAATTAACTACTCCTTGTCTATCATAGAATCAAGTAGCTTATTCCAATTTTCTTAATAGCTGTAAGGTTTATTTTTATTTAACAATCAATGTGGAATCGCAATGTGCCTAAGGTTGACCAGATCGTACCAAGTCATGTTATTAGCACTGAAAATTTTATCGCTTTTATTTATGACTAATGATTGGTAGAAGTCGGCAGTGCTACCAAACGTAACAGAAGTGGCGGGAAATTTGATAGATTGTTAATATTTTGATGTGAAATTAGAAATGGTGTACTACTGGTTCCTGGTGTCGGACTGGTGCACCCACCCTACATAAGATGATGCAAAATATGAGCAGGTGCATGTGATAAGCATTTTATTCTTACCTTCAATTTCTGTATGTTAACTTTTACTTCAGAAACCAATTTTTCCCTCATTTTTGCGCACACGTTTTCGTGAACTCCAATTTTACCTGAAATAAGAAGTTGAGTAAGTATCATGTAAATACATCCAATACATAGTCGCACGCGCGACCAACGTCACGTAGCGTCAGTCGCGGATCGGATGCGCGTACATCAGTTAAGCACGCAGAAAAGTGCTGCCAACGGGGTAGCGCAACGGTGCCTCATTTAAGTAACGATTTTCGTACAGTCAGCGTCAAATAGTTCGTGACACCTAAAGTGACCAAAAGTTGACCACACCCAAAGTAATACACTAACTAAACTATGTGACGCTGACTATACGAAACCGACGTCGGCGTTGTTGGAAATCAAGCCCTAAAGATAAGGAAGGAAGAAGTTGGTCACAGCCCAGAGCTCGGCAAGCCGCCGCGTCTCTGCTGGCACCAAGACCGAGGCGTTTGGGTCACAGTGCCACTATAAAATAATAAATAAATAAATTCTTTATTGAATAACTATGACCGTGGTGCGTGGGCCACAGTGGCACCAAAGCCAGGGTGTGTGAGCCACGGTGCCCACTCACCCGCCTCGATGGCGGCGCCGTGGTCGGCGAAGCGCAGCCCGAGCAGCTGCTCCATGCAGGCGCGCATAAGAAGTCTACAGCTCACAGTCCGGCCACGTGGCCCACTGTGGGGCGTGGGCCACGGTGCCCACTCACCCGCCTCGATGGCGGCGCCGTGGTCGGCGAAGCGCAGCCCGAGCAGAGGCGCCACGCGGAAGAAGTCTACAGCCCACAGTCCGGCCACGTGGCCCACTGTGGGGCGTGGGCCACGGTGCCCACTCACCCGCCTCGATGGCGGCGCCGTGGTCGGCGAAGCGCAGCCCGAGCAGCTGCTCCATGCAGGCGCGCATGTCGTTGTGCGCCACGCGGAAGAAGTCGTCTACTGCCCACAGTCCGGCCAGCCGCCGTGTTTCTGCTAAGCACCATAGCCGGTACGTGTGGATGGAGTGGTCTGGAACAAGTAAACAATATTTACCAATAATAATGATGTTTCCTGGATAAAAAAGCACGAGTTTTAATTAGTCCGTCAGTTAGCTTATCAAAAACTACTCGACACGTATTTTTCACTTTTTAAAACTAATGAAAATGTAAAGAGATAAAGCGTGCCAAAGTTCTAAAGAAAAGGCTCGTGACGTCAGTGACTGCGTAAAAGTGCAGTACTTTGTGACGTCGCGCGGAACTTAAACGCACTTTAACTTTGTAATTATTTGTTTGATTGACAATTAAAAATATACGTGTCCAATATTTTTTATAGTAAAATTGACGGACTAAAAATTTTTTTTTAGGAAACTAGCCTATTCTAACACAGCTTCTTTAGAACACACGTTTCGTTCTCGCTTCGATACGCGAGACCATAGATCAGGCGCGGTGGGTAAGCCCGTTTCCACCAAAGCGGATAGGAGAACTGAGAAGAGATGAAATTTTATTTTCACATCATCTCTCCGCTTAGCTTCGGTTCGGAAATCTGATTGATGATTCAAGCACATCTCTCCACTTTGGTGGAAACCTGATCTTTGCGTCATAGAGAATGTGTGAAATAATATTTCGCAGTGTACCGGAACGGTATCGAAACTGGCTTCACTGATATGTGTGAATCGACCTTAAAATCATCTTTATAAAGAAACCTAGAGGTGAGGTACAATAAAAATAAAAACTTTCCAAATACGAAAAGAAACGTCATCTCACCCAGTCTATGCAGTATGGGTATCTGTTCAACAATGGGCAGGTCTTCTATCGGAGCGCCGAGTATGTAGTCCCACGTGACCTCGCACTGGTTGTTGAGGGTTACTAATTCATGCAGCATCAACGCGAAGTTTGATCCCGAAACCGTGCTCTGGATTCAAACAAAATAATCATTGAACTTACAAAAAATAAAGAAAAAATACAAGAACTGCTCTCACATATGAATCTAAGCATAATGGATTTCATTCAAGTTTTTTTAGAAGAATCTAAATAGTCTGAATAAAAATCTCTCTGGACTTTTTCGCTTCTGGGCTAAGGTTGTATAATCTATGCCATATAAGAAAAAAATAACAAGAAAATGTCCGAAAATCTAATGATTTCAAAAATTGCTGTTTTGTTTACCTCAGTAACATACAGCGATAATTCGGGATGCAGTTTGAGCGAAGTTGCTGTTAGATTGGTCGTCAATGTGGCTCTGAAATTTGAATTAAATTGTGTATAGTGTACTATTTAGGCCTTAAACATTATACATAAGGACTATCTTTAGAATACATACCCGAAATGTTTATCCCAAGACGTGGTTGTGACGTGACATCCTAAAGCATCGGCCAGTATCCTCAACGCAGATAAAATCAATTCGGGTGTATCTGAAAATTTCAAAAAGTTATCCATTATTACGCTTGAATATTCATGTTCTTAACTGAAAATAAAGTTAAAGTTAAGTTTAAACTTACTATGAACGTTGAACGTGCCAAATAACCATTCACGTAGATTTTGACTGGTGTTTGGAGATCTGAAAAATTATAATTAAAATAGTACTTTGTCAACTATACTATGGTTTTACATACATAGTAGTTAATAATAATAATTGCAAAGTAATTGTACCTTATTGCTAAAGGATACGACGACCACCAGAGAAGAATATGCTCTAGGCAGCTGCCCACATCGCCCCAAAGTATGTTTTGGTAATATTCTGTTACTTTATGAGCAGCTTTTTTGCTGGCTTGAATGCGACCTGAAAAAATATTCTAAAGAGTAAATTAAAAAGCAATAAAATCCACATTTAGGGGCTTATTCAGTATGTTGTCTAGAACAAGAAAGATATGAAGATTTTTTAGGGTTATTTTGTTATTGGTTAATTTACCTGACTTTAGCTTTCTAGTTCCATTAGTACCAAGTAATGGTGCAGACATGTTAGCTACTGTGTCCAGTAGAATTTCTATATACATCTCCTCGCTTTGCAGAATGCCATTTACGTTTTCTGAAATCATAATATTAATTAGCAGACGTAAGGAATTTTTGTGGAAAAATAACTCAATAAATATGCAAATGTTTGGTTTATGTGACGTCAAAAAGTATTTTAAGAATGTAGCAAAACGGTAACCAATCAAAAAAGTATGCAACTTTGTCTGCACGCAAACACGAAAGCCAGAAACAAGAAAAAAACACTAGTGACGACATCTACTTTAAATAGGATAAATTCTGGTAAAACTAATGCTTTTTAAACACTACGGGGAAGCTCTTGGCCAGCCATAGTATCTGACGAAAAGTGACGTCATACCAAAGGTTTAAGGGACATAATTATACAAAAAGCAAATCTATCATACCTTCATTACTAAAAATGTGTTCCAAAACACATTCGTTGGTCAGCAGAGACGCGTACGTGATATCACAATCGGAGTTCTGCGCGTTAAGTATATCGCTCAACTTCTTGTTCTGTTTGTTCTTAACTTCAATCAAGCTCTGTGCTTGCTTCATTTTCGCTTTCTTGTTCTCTATGAAGGCCTCCCGGCGTTTCTCGACTGTCATCTCCCGGGATATCGTGGAGGTTGGCGGGGTGATGTGTTTTGTTAAGGTGCTGAAACGAAATAATTTTTATAACTTGAAATATTTTTTGTTATACCTACTTATGGATTCTGAGTGTCATTCTAACAAGACCAATGGCGTTTTCCCATTTAGTTTAAAATTCATGGCCTTTCTTATGAATAAACTTATGATAAAAAGTTAGCTTTGAATATTACTGATATTACCTAAATGGTTGTAAATGTTCGTTCGAAATTGAGAAGCCGTCAAGTATTCGGCCGGGTCTGCTCGGGTCAGTTCATTAAATAAGGTATTTTATACCCACAGGGTGGATTTTGTAATGCCACCTGAAGGGAAAGTACTCTTAATCATGTAGTTAAGATAGAAAATTTTACTCAAAGAAAACATTCCTTTATTTTTGAAAAGATAGATTTGATGCTACATAAAAGGTGGCATTTCAAAATTCCACCCTGTATAAAAAATAGGAGGAGTAAAATATACTTACTGGTAGATTTCCAAGCTTTCAGCTGTGCTTGAGCTCGATTCATTATCAGAATTATCTTCGGGCTTATACACTTTTACCAGGCAGTTTATTAGTCGGTGGCAGTTGATTTCTACGCGACTTTTGGCAAGAATCTGAAAATAGAAAAAGTAAACTAATCAAAACAGCGACGTTACAAAAGTTTCAAAACTTTTAGCAAGACGAAGACTTCAGAAGGTCATGAGTTAAATTATACAAGTCTAGGAAATTCAAGCTTCAAAAGTTTTAAGTACTACCTATACTCTAACATGAGTCATTTTCTAGATTTCTTTTTCTTTTCTAGACTAAAGTTTGAATAAAATGCGACTTACTTGAACTATTTTAGTTAGAGTGATGTTTTTAGTTTCGCTGATTGTGCTTGGGTAGGTATTGCTGCACACGTTGAATTTGGCTGCGAACTTTTTCGAACTCAGCCCAATCAGGTGATTGTATATTGATACTAAGCTGAAACAAATAAGTTATTGGATGTCTAGCCGTATTCTGCTTTAAAAAAATTTTTGGAGGAAGTTACAACAAACGAAGTAAATTCTGCAGAACTTCGCACTAACTATGGATTTTTGTTGCAGAATTGCGTCTGTACAACCATATGGATAAAGAAACCAAACTTTCCTTTGAGGTCAACTACAAGATTCCACAATGTTTCGAAGATGTATCATCACATCGCCAAAACATTTTTAAAGTGACAAACTACCTAGTCCTATGTATAATAGGGAGCGTGTTGGAAAAGCCTTTCACAAGTTAAAAATTACAGTCCTTACCTCAAACAGCATTCAATCATTTTCCTAGAGTCCTCCCTATGCAGGCACGTGCTAAGTATCGTCGTGATGAGCCCACTAACAGCCTGCAGCATGATGAACCGGGACCCGCACAGCTGGTCGAACGCGTGCTCGTGTTTACTTTCCACCAGGCCATTGTCTCGTTTCAACCTTGCCAACTTCGGGTTCAATTTGTAAAATGACTTCACTAACTTCGATAGATATTCTATTATTTGATCTAGTACCTGAAATTTCAAGGTTTTGAAACTTGAAAAGTTATCCAAAACACATCTTGTATCCTTGTGTAACCTTTTACTCAAAAAGTTTCATACAAATAAACGCACTTCAGCTGTTAAATTGTAGTTGAATCACTCCTAATTTGTAACCGCTTCCATTTACCTGTATATTGACTAACTCCATAATATAGCTACGATTGGATAAGGTATGGCTGGTGCTTTTACTCAAGGAGCCTTTCCATTTGTTATCCAAGTCCAAAATGACTTTGGTGACAGCATAACAGATCGCTTCCATCTCCCTGCCATGGCTGAAGGCTTCCTCCTCCTCCGAAGTCTCTTCGCTGATCCATTTCTTGCTGTGCACCTTCGCGGACATATTAAGTCATCTATCTAATAAAGTAAACAAAAATGTTTTGGGGTGTGTTAACTTGCAGGGCTCATCGTGGCGACTGCTGCAGCGGCGGGCCAATCGATGTGTAGCGACGTCGGTGCCAGTCGAGCAGCGTCGAAGCGCTTGTACGACAACCGGGAATTGCTACCATTAAACTTTTTTATCGCTGTTCAAAGTCGACCTTCAATTTACGACTGGGCGTTTCGTATTGTAGTCTTATAAACTCATTAACGGTTAGTGTGATTTGCCAGGAAAATTGCAAAGGTTTTTCATCGGTGTTTCCTTGTGCTTTAGTAAACTTTGGCTTTTTATATCAGCTGTTACGCTAATAAAATTTGGATTTCATGGACGATATCCGGTATGGCTATCGTAAATTAATGTTGCTGCTGTATCTTTATACTTGGCTTCGCGGTATTTACGACTCATAAGACTCTTATTATAAAACGAAGCTCAAAATTAGATTTAAACTCATAACATACGAGTACATTCAAGCCTGCGTGGTTTAATATTGGTTAAACTTTATTATTGGGACAATTTAGGCTTGAATCATGTCCTAATTTTCCAGATTTTTAGATAATGCTTGCCATCTCAATCTGACTTATAATATAATTTACACACATCCTTTATCTGCTTTACATATTTTTATCATTATCCGAAAACCAAAGTGGTATTGGTAAAAGTTACTACTGCCAAACTAAAAGTTATTGCAAATGTGTTCGTTTCTGAAATACCGTCGTAATTTTTGGACGATCATTATGCGATAGCATATAGAATACATAAATCTTGCCGCATTAGCATACGATCGATTATGGAGGGAGATAATACTTTCATGAGAGAGGTCAAGGCGACGAGGCTCGGCTGCCCTCGGATAGCGCAATTATATAACACTTTTGACGTAAATGATAGCACAATGTAACACGAGCTTTGCGAAAACTAGGTCAAAATTAATAGTTTATGTGACCTGGTACAAATGTTAAGACACACACATCAATAAACACAGACGGTATCGTAAAGTGTAGAACATAAAATGCAAATGAGAAATCTAATAAATTAAGTTGATAACATACATTGTTCTAGTCTAGATACAGGAATTAGGTAACAAAAACGCAAATATCATGTACAGTTGAAACTTTTAATTTTGACGAAACAATAATCCAGTAAAAATAATAGTTTTATTAATAAAATATTTAGCTAATAGGTACTCAATTCATTTGTAATAGGCGATAGGAAGAGTATATCACAGTGAAAATAAATACATGATGTATTTTTATTAATTGTAACAGTAAAATTAAGTTACATCATACAAATAAGTGGGATTAACTCTTTTCAAATCAATTTATATTTAAATAAAAATTATCGGAGCATTTACATGTTCATCGTTTTTAGTCAAGGAAGAAACAAAAAAACTGATGGGACAGCTTGAGTATTTTGAAAATGAGAAACAATTAGAAATATGTTAATTTAGTTATCATAATTTACTAGCATTATTTGTTATTAATTTATTGCTCTCAATTTATACAATCCAATGATAAAGCACTTGATTTTATTGTCTACTAAAATTATCTACAAACCATAGTTATTTAAATAGGAAGAACAAAGTCACTTTATTTATAGACAAATATTTGACTCCATATTCATAAAAAGCAAAACATTTTTATAACATGATTTTACCTAAAAATACTGTGTCTTTGTTTAACGTACTGAAGTGATTATCTGTTAGAAAGTGATGGAGAATTTATACTCTAAAACGCTGTTAAGAAACTATTATATTTTTTTATGAATCAGAGATTTTGATGTAAAAAACAAAAACAAAGCGTACAACCCATTCAGTATACAGTGCGTGAGTGTATAGTACGTGGTATAGCATTCGGCGACATTTATTGTGAGATATTCGTCACGAACGGTTTGATGTATCGCACCCTTTATTTATTCCGCCTGGTTTTACTGTTGGTAGTCACGAAATGATAAATAATTTGTCATTCGAAGTGAATATTGTAAACAAAGGACTGTTTAAGTTATAATATAATCAAATAATGATGAACAGAGGATAAAAAATAATTTTATATCAAAAATATTGCAATGTTTTCATTATGCATGTTTGTTATGAATTTAATATTTACTCGAGTCTCCCACGAGTGTGTGATAAAATACTTTTTTTAAAATTGAAGTAAAGAAGATGTCTTATTATAACATGATTTAGAATAAATAATCTTTTAAAGGCAAGTGCATTTAACACTTGTATCTAATTTTATATTTTTAAACACGCTAATACAACACCCAAAATAATAATTAAACTTCAATACTTAAAGTGACACCACTCAAATTCAGCTAAAATTTATTACAAACACTAACAAACACTTGCTCATTATAATAGAGTTCAAATAGCTTAACGCAATTACAAAGGCCCCCATTTGCCCTTGTATAGTTTTATCACTAACATCGAACAACTCGCGTATTGTCAAAATTTAACGATATAACTTCTTTAGAAACAAAAGTTGAGAGAAGAAGGCAAGAATTGTAATAATTCCCAGTACCTACAAATGAACAGCTGGGTCTACTAGACGTACTAGTATTTTAATAAAACTAGTATCATGAAACTAGTGAGGAAAAGTAGAAGTTCCTTTCACAATAATAATATTTTTATTATTATTGTGAAAGTAATAATATTTTTATAATTAACCGCCTCTGTGGTCTAGTGGTAAAACCACCTGCTTCAGACGCAGAGGTCCCGGGTTCGATTCCCAGTGGGGGCAGATTTTTCTGTTCGGTTTGGTTGGTGGTAGGGCTTGTTCTAAGTCCGCCTGGCTAGCTACCACCATCTTACCTAAGTCTGTCGCCATAACAACAATGTTAACAGCATTGTTGTGTTCCGGCAGTTAGNCATAACAACAATGTTAACAGCATTGTTGTGTTCCGGCAGTTAGAGGTAAGATAGCCAGTTCCTCCGTGGTTGAGGATTCCGGGTGAAGCTCGCTTCCACCTTCGGCCTGATCATCACTTACCATCAGGTGAGATACAGGCCAAGAGCTTCCTCGTTGTAGATAAAAAAAAAAAAATATTCAAGATTTGAACAATAGCCTCAACAATAATAAAGTTCTAACCATCGAAACTACATTGAGAAATACTTAATTATATTCGATAAAACAAAACACAGTCAAATTATGTACAAAAAATACATTGGTAATCCTTTTTCACGGGAGGTAATGGTTTTGCACTTATTAAGAACAATATCTACACGTCAGGCCCAGAACACACGGTGAAACGCAATTGCAACGAAATTGCAACTTCTAGTTACTTTTGAGTTGCATCTAAGTTTCTGCCATAGAATTTCGTTGAGAGACTACACATGACGCGACCAGTTTGAAATCGGTTTGAACTGGTCAAACTGGTTGCGTCATGTGTGGTCTCTCAACGGACGCTATGGCAGAAACTTAGATGCAACTCAAAAGTAACTAGCTGTTGTTTCATTGCAGTTGCGTTTCACCGTCTGTTCTGGGCCTTAGTGTTTTGTTTAGTACACAATATGAACCAGCGAATATGAGATTTCCTAACGCGAAGTATAAAGCGATATGTTCAGATAACATACTCTACTCACGACGAAACTACGTCTACACACCCATACGATTGCTTTTCATTGATATGACTTACGTACAGTTAACATACTAACCTTTTTATCTATAGAACACTTCATTATCGCCTGGTGATACGTTTCATCTGATTCTAACGCCCACGGGAAATAAAGCTTAAAAAATAACAATAGCACCTACTTAAGTTACCTAAAACAAGTAAAACTGGGGTAATAACAAATAGTGTAACAATCCAGCTAGATTACTATTTCATTTTGTGGCAATACAATTTCATCATCACTATAGTCTGGTCTCTGAGCACGTAGAATTTTGTCCAATGACCCCAAGCGACCCATCCTTATCGCTCGCGCGTAATTATATTGCTGTCGCGACTGTGCGACGGGCGCCCGCAGTGAGTGTGCGATAAGGATGGGTAGCTTGGGGTCATTGGACAAAATTCTACGTGCTCAGAGACCAGGTTTTAGTTATCTAATACTCTATCACAAATTACGGGTGTAAAATTATATTTAAAGAAGGCTTCTCATATTTTGGAATAAGATCAACTTAAGTTTCTCCGAATGAATATAATAGAATCTCTGTTTATTTTTAACATTAGCTTGAGATCAACGAATAATTTTATGCCCGTCTCATAATAATTTGGTTCCACACATTGAGGCAAAACTTTTTGCCTGTGTTGTATATTCTGTAGTCGTAAATTTTTTAGCAGGATTTTTATAAACGAATGCCTAATATCAAACTTCGTTAAATGTAATTTTACACCCTAATCAACTCAGAAGTCAGATCGACTCAAACAATAAGCTTAGCGTGTAGCTTTCGAATAATTGCAACAAACAACTGTACAGTATTAAAAGTTAACAAACCAACCTACAATTACTATACCGTTAGATTACCAATTTACACTACAACTACTCACGGAACAGCTTAGCGTTTACCAAACTTAACAAACGTTGAATATTGCTCCGTTGCGTTTTAGAAGCCCGATATTTACAATATAACTAACGAGTGAACACACAGTTTGCTTAAGCCCGGCGCGAATCAATCTGGCATGTCTATGCTCGTAACAGGCACTACTGGTTTCATGTGTTCGTTTTTCTTTTGGTTTTTGTGTGATTTTTTCTCTTTGACTTTCTTGTGGGTTTCTTCGTCGCGGTAGGGCTCAGGAGCGGGCTCGGACGCGCGCGTGCCGTTGTTGTAAGCTATGTTTGCATACTCTTGAAGCAAAGGGAACACTGATAGCAGGAACTGGCAGAAGTCTTTCCTGATGCCGAACCACCCTGGAACATTTCATTGGGATTTTTAGTAATCCTATGGTATGTAAAGCAGTTTGTACTTAAGATGCCACAAAACTATCTTTAGCCACTAATTAACGGTTGAAAGATTGTTTTAAAAATGATGGAAAATTTAAATTTAACTACAAATCAAATTGTTTTTCCTAGTCCATGCAACATATTATTACATCCTAAAGTTCCATTGTATTCATCTTTTAGATGTAGAAAATCTTGTCTATTTTTTGTTGAACATAATGAAAATTCAAAAAACCTTGAAAATAAAAAGAATTATCATACAATAATTTATTTTTTGTTGAAAATAAACATTATCAAATTTAATGTTTAAAAAAGCCAAACATACCTTAGCTAATTTTGAATTTCATCCATACTTCATAATCTCATTGCAATCTAAAAGCATGATGCACAAGCACAATGTAGACCATGCAAACTATCGATTGGCACACAAATAGAAAACAATGGCCGAAAATAAAATAAATAACAAAACAAAATAGAACATGACACTGAATAAAACAATTGAATGCCGCCACTCAACCGTAAAAAACAAGTGAACAACAATAATGAATGGGCACTTACATTTATTGCCCCCTTTTGAGCTGAACGACATGATAATCAATGTAGCGTAGCTGACGAACAAAGGACTGACTACCACGGTGTATGACAACGCGAGGCCGTCGTCCAACTTATTCGTTAATAGCACCTGCAAAAGATTTATGTTTATTAACAAAAATAAATAAAAAACACGGTCTAAATTAACATTTAAAACGCAAATTAGTACATGCAGCAAGTTTCGTTGGCGTTGTTAGCCTAAAATGGTTGCCATGGGGTTGTTAAAATATTATTTGGAAACCAAGCAAATTCTTTCAAGATAAGCAGAGGTACAGTTGGACTAACTTTAAAAGTTTTCGATATTTCTTTCTGTAAATAATATTTAATTGTCATTTCACTCAGTATTTTATTATTGTTACTCTCAAAGAGCGAAAAAACCGCTTACGTATTTGGTTCACGGTAAAACGTCCAAATCGTGAAATTCGTCTTATGGCTTTTATGAAAACGCTCAAGACGCGTTGTGGTTATTAAGAAAAACTTAGACAGCTTTCCAAGTACTAAAGTATAAGTACATATCCAGGCAGGGAGACTTGTAGTTTTTGTATTGTAAATTAATTCTTCAGCCGATACAGCTACTTTTTTTGTTTTCAAGTTTTATTTGTTAAAGTTTAAAGTATGTCTCATTAAAAAACTCTCATTAAAACTCATTAAAAAACTCATTATAGTGTGTTCAAAAATTTTTGATGATTGTTTTTTAGCCCATCCAGTAGCGGCGTAAGGTAGGGGCGGTCCGCCCCGGGTGCCAAGCATCAAGGGGTGAACCGTAGTATCATCAGGTACTCACTGGCACATCTGCATTGCAAATCTGCGGTCTATGTCATAATACGAGGGGGGGGGGGGGATTCTTTCAATCTTCGAATCGGTAGGTAACCCCATCCTGGGGGGTACCAGGGGGCACCCCAGGTACCAACCCATGCTACGCCGATCATTGGGGGAGGCCTATGTTCAGCAGTGGACGTCCTATGGCTGAAATGATGATGATGACATACCTGGAACACCAAAATGGGCACGACAGTGAACGTGTAAGCCAGCGCCGAGTTGAAGCTGGTCCGGCGCTGCTGCACGTTGACCTCCGGCGTGCGTAGCAGAATGCCCGCGAAGATTATGCTATACAGCACCCCTGCAAACATTGTCACCGTTAGTTATGGCGAGGATTATGCTATACAGCACCCCTGCAAACATTGTCACCGTTAGTTATGGCGAGGATTATGCTATACAGCACCCCTGCAAACATTGTCACCGTTAGTTATGGCGAGGATTATGCTATACAGCACCCCTGGAAACATTGTCACCGTTAGTTATGGCGAGGATTATGCTATACAGCACCCCTGGAAACTTTGTCACTGTTAGTTATGGCGAGGATTATGCTATACAGCACCCCTGGAAACATTGTCACCGTTAGTTATGGCGAGGATTATGCTATACAGCACCCCTGGAAACATTGTCATCGTTAGTTATGGCGAAGATTATGCTATACAGCATCCTTATGACGAGTCAGGGTTCGATTCTCAAGAATGACATGTTACAATGATTGATAAGTAACTTTTGCAGAATGTAGAGGTTCTTTTTATTAGGTTTAGTACAAAGATTATTTATTCACAGATATATTGCAGCGCAAAAGTGGTCTTATAATAGAGAAAAGGGCAGCTTATCTCACTAGCACACCTGGCATGTGAATTTATTTCATTACATGTTTTACAAGACACATAAACCTACTTNAAAGAAATTGGTTGAAAGGCAAACGTTTAAATAAACTGTTGTTTTTGCAAAGTCTTCCAAAAGAACACTGGAAATACTTAGGATATAACAAACTTATAAAAATAAATGCGGATGTTTTTTTTTGTGCTTCCTTTAATATACAGTGTGAGTCACGTTAAAGTGTACATATGAAAATTTGTGAAACTAGACGTATTTTTATCGACAAAAAAAGGTCAAAAAATTTTTGAGATTTTTTTTTAATTTTTTAAAGATTTTTTTTTCTTCCAATTACTTCTCCTAAAGAAAACGTAATAACTTTTAAAGTAAGAGGTATATCTTGATAAAATAAAAACAGTAATAATGCTAAATAACAGGCGATACTAAAAAATTACATAAAATACCCAGAAAATGCCAACAAATAATAAAAAATATACTTTTAAAAAAAAAACTGCTTTTAAATTCGTGTTTTTTGGTTATTTGATCAATTTCTCCAAAAAATGCCCCTATAACAGGTAGTTTTTATTACTTTGTATGATTTCCTATCGTATTACTTTTGTAAATCCAAAAATTGCATGTCTCTATCCCTATCACAACAACAACAACCTCATTATTCTCCACTACAGGTGGAGACAATTTTAATTTTAACTAAAATGCTTATTTTACTTCGAAATATTTTGTTTTTATTTGAAATGTAACTCGTCTTTATCAAAATTACAAATCTAGAGCCAGTTTCAGTTTCGTTGTTAACGAAGCGTTGAATGGCCCGCCCGGAGAGGCTTAGTTCAAACTATCATTGCAAACGTTGTGATAGGGATAGTGACATGCGATTTTTGGTTTTACAAAGGTAATACGATAAAAAATAATACAAAGTAATAAAAACCACCTGTTATGGGGGCATTATTTGGAGAAATTTATCAAATAACCAAAAAAACACGAATTTTAAAAGCAGATTTTTTTCAAATGTATATTTTTTTATTATTTGTTGGCATTTTCTAGGTATTTAATATGTATTTTTTTAGTATCGCTTATTATTTAGCATTATTACTGTTTTTATTTGATAAGGATATACCTCTTAGTTTAAAAGTTATTACGTTTTCTTTACGAGAAGTAATTGGAAGAAAAAAAATCCAATAAAAAATAAAAATAAATCTCAAAAATTGTTGACCTCTTTTTTGTCGATAAAAATAGGTCTAGTTTCACCTATTTTCATATGTGCACTTTAACGTGACTCACACTGTATAATGAAGATTTTTCTCATGTATGGCTTTTACTGTTTTTTAATAATACAATGCTTAAATTAGTGGATTTTAAAAAGTCTTAAAAAAGTACTCGATTTATACAAAACATCGATGTTTTCTTCCAATACATCGAAAGAAATCGATGTACAGTTTCAAAATATCGAATCGAAAAAAACATCGATGTTTTTTCAAAGTGGACACCCCTAATTGAATTTCGGTCCATGGACCTGTTTGCGTGCCAGAAACAGTCTAGTTGACATGTCTTCTCTAGTACGTAGTACATTATAACTCAATGAANCAAGTTCGTTCATATGGTACAAATAAATGGGAATTCGGAAGAATATTAAGTCGCATCGGGAGGCTGCACTATGAAGTAGCCACAGAGAATGGAGGGGTGGTGCGGCGTCACGTGGACCAAATGCTCCAGGCACGAGCAGTCACCATTAACTGAAGAATTAACGGGGGAGGACACTGTCATGTCTATGGCCGTGTCGTATGACGTTTCCATGGAAACGGATTGTGTTGACTAATAAAATGATAGAATATCAAAGTACTTTATTATTTAATACTACTGTATAAACGAGATGTGCAATTCGCCTATGGTATGTCATAAATACTGAAATTATGGTGTCATACATCACATCTAATTCACATATTGTGATAACATAACTTCTGATAACCTGAAAACATAATTGTTTAATTTGAGGCCTAGAGTCGCCCCTAGTTGATTGAAAATGTTTACATGGTGCTGACACTAAAAAAATATGTGAGACAAAGCAAGTAAAGTTTTTTTATGTTAATACGAACGACACTCAAGGGACCGATGATATTACGTCACACTATACGGACGTCGTACTAAAGAAGTTATTTACGCCGCATATGCGTCGCTAAAAGAGGTCGATCGCTATATGCGACGTCGTGCTAAACAGATTCTACTTCATAAAAAAAGTGAAACATTTAGTATTGAAATGAACAGATTTTACATATATTAACTTATTTATAGCTATTTATATATACAAATATTTTGTGTGCAAAATATAAAGCATGTGATATTTCACTAGTCTACAATACTAAACATGAATGGTAAATGATAAAAGAAATACATACACTCACCTACTAGGCTGAGACACATGAGTATCCACAAAGGCACAAACACAACCTCCCAAGACCAGTTGATGAAGTCATCCAACTTCAGGGCCAGGAAAATGAACTGCAGGATGTTCACTGCGCAGAACAGCTCCAACTGGAAGTAGAGTCACAGTCAAAAATTTCTGTTAGATGTTTAAGGGTAGGTATACCCAACATTCATGAAACAAACGCTGGCCGTAACAGCGTATTACACTTGAAAATTTCGACGGGTTCATCCAGTGTCTAAGTAGCTCAGATGGAAGAGCAGTCGCCCGGCAAGCGGAAGGTCGAGGGTTCAATTCCCGACTTAGGCAGTTCGATTTTTTCATGTTATTTATAATTTTTAAAGTCAAAAATGTCTTTATTTGTATGGACTATTAAATGGAGCTTACATTTAGTGAAATATATAAAAAAGACTAATAAAAAAAATGTTATGCTCTTATGGAACCTTTACAGAATGTCTCATACTTTTTTTGCTCTACCAGCACTTCAAGAAAAATATTTGGCAAGTGCTGAGAAGAAGCGCCGCAACAAACTAAGATACCACAGCACAGTCTGCTGGTTGAAATAAATAAATAATTTAATTTAAATATTTGTCATTTGATATGACAGAATTATAAATGTGGTAATTCACATTGTTTTCTTAATGTGTGGAAGTCCACAAAAAATACATAATTAAGAAAACACGTCAATTGTTTTCTTAATTAGGTAAAATTGTTCCAAGGTATTTCTTATTATAGTGATCATGACATGAATTGTCTACTATGCATTCTACAAAGTATAGCCCAGAATCATCTATTGTTAGTGGGGCCTATGATTCACAGGGGGAATCACAGTCTAAGAGATAAAAAAATACCAGATAAGGAACATTAACACCAAATACAAACTCTAAAATCATTCTAATTTGTTTAACTTGTAGATCTATTTCTAACCTTAGTATTGTGAATAGTAACAACTCAAATCTCAACCTTAGTGTCAGTCTATTTACAGTACTTTATGTACATACTAATAGTACTTTATTAGTCTTAGGGCAGATTTTTCAATTGTCAGATAACTTTTAATTGAGGAATAAACTTGTAATTTTGACAGATTTCCCATACTGAAACTGTCAATGTGCCAAACTTGTTTTTCAGTTAAAAGTTATTCGACGATTGAAAAATCAGCCCTTGATGAGTCATAATTATTAATTAAACATAAATTATCCTTACCTCATAGCTACGGTCGTGTTTCACTGACCATATACATATAGCTATTGAGACTATACTAATGAAGATCAGCGGAATAAAGACCAGTATCCATATGTGGCGCTTGGTGGTCAACTGGTCGCACACAAGTAGCTCGAACATCAGCAGTATCAAATGTATGGCAAGACTGATCAGCATGGCTTTGTAGTGAATGTAGGCTTCACCTTCTAACCTGTAAACAGATTAATATTTGAGATGTTTATTTCTATTACAGAAACTGTGTAAGTTAATTTATGATAGAAAATTTTATAATGATTGAGCACCAAGTCAGAAACATAAATAACAAAAAAATGGTTACCTACAAAAATTATAAATCTGTAAAGTTTAATACACTAGTAAATTGCTCAATTTCAGGTTATTAGATAGAGTACAGCATTGACTATGACTTATGACCAGGGTCATCTCTATAAGTGAAAGGTCATAAATAATTGGCATAATATTAAAACCTTTTTAATGCCATTTCATGTGATATATGAGAATAAGTGTTGTCTATCTTATTATATGGTTAATTTGAGCTTACTGACCTGAAATGAGGGTACTGCCACCACACATATGTACCGACAGTAGCCCCCAGGACTACAAGAAACTTCCAGACCCATATGGGTGTGAATACTGCCCAGTAAGACCATGTTATTGAGTTGTCTAACTTCAAAGCTAACAGCGCCGTGAATATTAGCAGACAGGTGTGGACCACGAACTTACTGAAACGGTAATTTAATTAATGAAATCACCACACTCTAAAGCCACATAGGTATCCATCAAATAACATCAGTTTATTATAGTTACCTAGGATTGAAATCCTGAAATAACGTTTGTAAATTCATTGCCATGCACATTCGCCCCAGATGTATTTGTTACCATTTCACTTTAACAACTGGTTTTATTTGTAATAGCTCAAAACATCAAGTTGAATCTGGAATCACAAACATAATTGAAATTGACCCCAATAACAAATGGCATCCGGTATTACGACATTGTGATAATATATTAAACAAATACCTATAACTTTAAACTAACATAAAATATTTTCTTGAGAATAAATTACAAAACTAAGATCATGAATTCACTTTATTTTTTGCTCCGCAAAAGACAAACAGATTGACATTATGTTTGACATCTATGTAGTTTTATTTTACCGTTTAGTTCACACAGTTACAGCTTTGAGCACCTCAAGCAGCCGGTCAAAGACATGAAGCTAAAGATAAAAATGGAGGCCAGACTTAGAATACCTACTTGAAGCACAACCTATGTATCACTATCTCGCTCTCTGTGGGCAGGCTCTCTCTTTCCAAGTAGGGTAACCTTTTATTTATTTTTCTCAGGACGACAAAGACTGATTTACGTTTAAACAGTGTGTCTTGATAAAGTGCACTTAATATGATTATGAAAAAAGGTTTTCGATGTTTTTGTTTTAAGATGAATTACAACATTAAGAAAGTGTAAAGGCATCGAAAACTGTGGATATTTGATAGAAAACAGATTTTAATTTGGCAGTTGACAGACGGATTTGGATATGGATTGATTACAGTAAACGGCCGTAGAAAACATTATGCAAAATTAGATAAGTAAGGTCCCACAGAAAGTCCCAGATATATCCTCAATATGGTCATACTACTTCAAAATGTCTTATAGAAACAAAAATTTTAAATTTGCTCAAAGTCAATGAAACTCAATGTAAAATCTTCTTTTTCTTGACATATGTAACATTTAATAATAAGTTTAAATACTGGTAAAACGTTTTAGGAAGTAATTACTGTGAAAATACAAAGAAATATGTTAACAATGATCCACTGTCAGAAATCACGAAATAAACACTTACGCGTGGAATTTTATATCACTTCCAGGACAACACGAACTACCGCAACCACGCACTATACAATTTTGCACCATTTCTTCAGACAAAACAATGATAAGGTCCCTTGAAAAATCTCAAACGAAATCAACTGCATAGTAAACAACCGCCATGATGGGCCGGATTCGGCCGATGTTGCCACATTACCGATACCTCAGAAATTGGGATTGTAATTCCCTGATTCGCCAACACATTAAGCCTAAATGGCCGACAATTTTGTGATTTTTTATTTAACTAGGTAATCTAAGTTTCAAATATTAATTATTTATTTATTTAACTTCTTATTTGGTTAGTGAATTGGCTATTTCGAAGAATTTACAAGGAGATTTAAATAAGAAGATAGCAATACTACAGTTCACACTAAAAAGAGAGGTAGGGCCACAGAGAGCGAGATAGATATAAGTAGGTATTTGACTCAAGTTTTGTTCCCAACTTTGCCCTCCATTTTTAGCTTCATGGTCAAAGAGCATGCAGCCGGTGGTCAATAAAAATACAAACCACATCGAGTATGATCGAGTAGATAGACACAAAGGGAGACGTCAAAACTTAATGAGTTCTGTTAAGAAACCCATTTGTTCCCCAACCAAAAATGATTTATTTAATCAATCAAAAACTAGAAGTGTGAAATAAAAATTAATTGTGAAAAAATCGATTTATCTACAAATAAAAAGGCATACAGACAGACAGAAGTTGCCGTCACAATAATTAAAAGAGAATTGGCTATTATGACTTCTCCACTGCCATTGCTAAGTAAGTAGCTTAAACTGCTTTTCTCTGGGCTTGAGTAGACTTTGTAAAAAGTCTAATCTGTCAGCCAGTGCTTGTCAAAAAATTTGCAAAATCGAATTTGGGGAAAGACTCCAAAATAGATCTTGAATTGATTTTAAAAGAAAAAGTACTAAACAGCGCGTAGAATTATTCATAAGTGTAACTGATATTAATATAATTTACGTGGCCATGGCATCTCCATCTCCGAAATCTCCTGAACAAAATGAGAAAACGAAACAATACGACCGGCAACTTCGACTTTGGGGTGACCATGGGCAAGCTGCTCTTGAAAATGGTCATATTTGTTTGATTAATGCAAATGCTTTGGGTACAGAAATAATTAAATCCATAGTCCTCCCTGGCGTGGGTTCTGTTACGATCGTTGACGATAGCACTGTTAGTGACGAAGATATTGGTAGCAACTTCTTCTTAGAATGTTCAAGTAAGGGTTCAAACAGGGGAACAGAAGCTCTCCGTTTACTGATAGAATTGAATCCTGCTGTTCAAGGTCATGCTGTTCAAGAGCCGCCGGACCAGATACTTCAAGAAAACCCAGACTTTTTTAAATCATTCAGTGTAGTCATAGCTACAGCACTTAGTGAGAAAACTATACAAGATTTGGCACAACATTTATGGGATATAAATGTCCCTTTTATTCTCTGCCGATCTGTTGGCTTTCTGGGATCGTTTAGAATACAGCTCAAAGAACATGCTGTTATTGAAACTCATCCTGATAATGAACAAGTAGATTTACGACTGGATGTTCCATTCCAACCTTTGGCTGACTATTTAAATGCATTTGATATTGAAGCACTAGATTTGAAAGATCATGGACATATACCATGGATTGTAATTCTGTACAAAGCTATACAGAAATGGCAGACTTCAAATTCTAATAGCTGGCCTATGAGTAGAAAAGAGAAAAATGAAATAAAAGAGATTATTCAAGGATTTATAAGGAAAGATGAGAATGGTGTACCTATAAGTGAAGAGAATTTTGAAGAGGCACTTAGAGCAGTCAATACTGCCCTAGTTCCAACATTCTTACCAGTGAAGATACAAGATTTACTGTACTGCAGTTCTGCTACAAACCTAAACAAGGACAGTTCCCCATTTTGGATCATGTGTTCAGCATTGAGGGGATTCGTTGAGGCTGAAGGCAAAGGGAAATTGCCTGTAAGAGGTGTGCTGCCAGACATGACTGCCTCTACAGAGCACTTCGTCAAGCTGCAGAACATATACCGATCTCAAGCTGCCATGGATGCAGAAATAGTATACAGAAAAGTGCAACAGATTGTTGCCCAGCTGCACTGTGACAGTATTAGCGAGACAGATGTTAAGTTATTTTGTAGACATGCCCATGATCTGTATTTAATCAAAGGCTCTAACATAGCTACTGAATATCAGTTGGGGGGAACAGTGGCATCTTATATTTCTCGGTATCTTGAAGAACCAGATGTCATGATGGTGCACTACATCCTACTGAGAGCAGCTGAAATGTTCCGGTCACAACACTGTAGAGCCCCAGGTGACTGGGAACCTGAAAGTGACATTTCTAATTTGAAATCATGCGTCACTAAACTACTCAGTGATATATCATGTTCTCCATTCCCAAAAGATGATCATATTCATGAAATGTGTCGGTATGGTGGAGCTGAGATACACAGTGTATCAGCATTTCTAGGTGGCTGTGTAGCACATGAGGCAATTAAAATAATCACCAAACAATATAAGCCAGTGAATAACATGTTTATCTATGATGGATCTTCAACTAACACTGCTACATTTACTTTTTAATAAGAAAAATTAATAAATTGTGAAGCAAGATGCATTTTATTTATTTATATTTCAAATATTTATTGGGAACTAATTTGCCTATAGCTTGACCATAGTGGTTTGGGCTAGTCAGAAAATTTATCGCCCAAGCAATCAATTGCCAACTTATAAACATAATTTATTGTTACAAAAGCTAATGACATTTCGTAATGCAAACATGAGGGATGATTGATTCTCCAAACTTTGATCCCCTTCAAGCTTTACTTTTAAGACAAAATGTAGCCTATCCAACTCCAAGGTAATCTAATATTACTTATCTGTACTGAACTAAATTAAAATTTGTTCAGTAATTTCAGCATGAAAAGGAATCAAGACAGATTAGTATGGATTTGAGTTAAATGATACAAACTTTTAGAAGATGTTTTGAACACTATTTACTATCAATTCACTCAATGATTCGACTTCACAATACAAATCAGTATTAAAAAGAATTTATAAATTCAGTCAGTATATTCTTACATCTGTGACAAAAGCTACAAGTAAGGGTGAAAATATAAACACTGACTATAATTTTAATTCTTCAAAGTTGTGTATTTTTTGGATGGAAATGAACCATTTATAATCTTATACACAAGATATAAAATCAATTTGAGGAAAATATTTCATTAACAATTTCAACACATAAATTACATAAAATAAACATATCACATGACTAAAATAATTGAAACAAAACTATACATTTGGCTAAAATCCTCATGGCAATAGAAGGTTACACCATATAACAACAGGAGGGATCACTTATATGTAAAATATGCTTGAGACTAGTAAGCCTCCACAAGTATAATAACACAACATTGAGAATTTCCCATTAGTTACCTACTTATTTCACCTTAACCACAACTTTAATCGCAATGCATCTACACCATTGAGATAATATCGAAATAAGCGCTTGTCCCGTACAAAGCCCAAATTTTCATATAACTTGAGAGCTGGTTTATTTGTGATTTCAGTTTCTAAGACCACTTCGTCTGCATTGTCATTTATCATTGCCTGAAATTGAAAACTAATATTAGTATACAATTAAAACCAATATTAACAGCTGTCAACTATACAAAAGGTAACTTATTGTATAAAAAATGAGAAAAGTATTACCTGTATTGCTTTCCGAACTAGCCTAGATCCAATCTTTTTCTTCCTGTACTTCTCATCCACCGCCAACATGGCAATATAGCCTCTCTTGACAACATTGCGATGCATATCTAACTTACAAACGATGGCACCTATGCAAGTCCCTTCATGAGTCGCTAAGAAGCAAAGTTTAGGCCAATTATGAATAAAGTATCTATAGGTATAGATAGAGTAAGGTTCTGATAAATCTTTTTGTATAAGTCGCATAATCTCTGGCATTTGAAGCTCCGACTCGTACGATATTATTTCGATTTCTTCTCTTGGAGCTTCGTCATGCGTGTCGGCACTGTCTTCCATGCTTTCTAAGGTGTCTGAAGGGTGCCTGACAGAAGCAGGTTCCTCAGTCTGCCCACTGGCAGCATCACTACACTGTACACTATTTACATCTTTCGAAAGATCACTTACTACATCGTCTTGAGCTTGAATCACACTCGAACTGTTCGAGACATCATTTTTATTCAAGTGATCACTTGTTCCATTAGTTAGGTTACTATTATTCAAATTGTTAATATGAAGAGTATTAGCTAAAACTTCTTTTAGCTTCTCTTGATCCAATATACTTATATCGTCAGTCGTTTCAGAAGGATCTTTGGCCTTTTTGCTCTTGCTTTTCGCATTCGCATTCATCTGACTGCATTTGATGCTTTGTACATTACCATCCGCGACTTGATGCATATTGGCGTATTTCTACCTATTTTATTTACACATTCACACGATTATAAGCTCATATAAAATCCAATAAAAGCTTTTACGATGATACATACATTCTTTCCTTGTCAAAATTGCAGAAGAGTATCACCGACATCTTGCCAAGTACAGTGTAAACTTTGGTAGCAAGACGATCCAATGTACCAAATTAAATGTACGTTTCTTAGGTTATAAATTGAAAAAGATTGTTAAAACAGTGAAATAGAAACAAGAATATGAAAAAATAGTTCTTGAAAATATTAGAAATTTGCAATTAGTTCGCCTTCCACAATCACATTGGAAAAAATGCGAGGCGAGTTACCACTTGGAAAAATGACATTTGACTTTGTCGAATATGTTTTTTTTTATTGTTCATCGTAGCTTTGGGTATTGTGCTTTAGCTAAGTTTTTCAATCATCATTAATCGTCATCTATCGTCATGAGCGTCATGCATTCCATGATTTGTTGTTTGGAAAAGTTGATTTTTTTATGAAAAATTCTGTATTACGTCTTAATGTATATTTAAAATTGTTAAAAATATATATTACTGTTGATGATAGAGATTCGTGAAAGAGCATGAAAGTTTCTGTACAAAAAAAATGNTTCCTGGTCAGGCTATAAATGAAAATAAATTCTCTTCGCTCAAATTGGATTATAGTTCCAAAATACTGGACTGTCCTGTCGATGACATTGACAGTGGGGCGCCACCGTCAATACCGGATCGCTGGTTCAGATTTTTGCCATGTTGGAAACCATATAGTTGAACGATGGTAGCGCCCCCCTGTCATTGAGTTTGGCGGGACAGTTCAGCGTGGGTCATCTATAAATCTCAAATGTATAGTTCCAAAATACTGGACTGTCCTGTCGATGACATTGACAGTGGGGCGCCACCGTCTATACCGGATCGCTGGTTCAGATTTTTGCCATGTTGGAAACCATATAGTTGAACGATGGTAGCGCCCCCCTGTCATTGAGTTTGGTGGGACAGTTCAGCGTGGGTCATCTATAAGTTCTGTCCTCAGTTATGCCACAGAGAAAATTGGATGTCATGGACGGTGACTATATATAGACCTATAGATGACCCACGCTGAACTGTCCCACCAAACTCAATGACAGGGGGGCGCTACCATCGTTCAACTATATGGTTTCCAACATGGCAAAAATCTGAACCAGCGATCCGGTATAGACGGTGGCGCCCCACTGTCAATGTCATCGACAGGACAGTCCAGTATTTTGGAACTATAATTCAAAATTCATGCAATGTGTGCAAAAAGTGTGGTACTGTACTGTGGTAACCTTATTTTATTGTTAATAAGCGCCATCTATTGTTGAGTAGTCCCACTGTTTGTAACTACTATTCTACTTCCGTTTAGGATAAACTACTTCAGAGTCAGAACCTCAGATTATGTTGTGAGACTTGTTTATTTTTAGATATTTATAGAGCATTGTTTTTACTTTAATATTTTATTTAAAAATGTTTTTTTTTTCACTTATTTCATCTATTTGTAAATTAATTTAACTGCTTAAATCTGTTATTTTATACGTATTAGTTGAATACTACGTTATTGTGTACAAATAGCTATAATGTATGCAAGCTACCGCTGTATTTGATAAATGTATGATATTCTTATCGTGTTGCTGACGTCATGGCCAGGAGAAACATGGCGGGCTGCTGAAAGCGCGCGCGTGTCGCAGCTCGCAGGTACCTATAGTCCGATTTTTAATTCAACGGAATTCTGACAGCTGTCATTTTTTGACAATTCAGATGTAATAAGCCTTTTTTGCTTTGAATTATTAATAAATAATATGAAATGAAATTTCATCAAGTACAATTTACAAGAATGAACTATTTTTTGTTTTGTAAATTCAATGAACACTAATTATTATGTACATTTTAGAGATTAAATAGAAAAAAACGTGTTTTTAACGTAGTAAAACAACATATTATCTTAAACGAAAATATGTATTGATCATCAATCATCATTATCGTCATCATAATCAACTTGGATTATAAAATTGGCATCTTGTTAAGTTGATTATTTTATGAAGCTAAGATTTTATTAACAAAAGGATTTTCATAAAAAAGGTTTGTAACCCATGGATTATTGGCCAGGGAGACCAGTAATAGAAAAATAATTTCCCAATTTTTTTTGTAACTTCAAAAGTATGATAATAAAAATTCAATTAACCATTTTGAAATGATCGGTACATTTTTAAGCCTTAGTTTTTCAAGTGAAACCTTAAATTCAAGAAAGGATTATTTTTTAATTCATGAAAATGCTCTCCATTCTTAGTGGGAATGTTTCAGTGTTGACAACACTTCTGAAATGTCAAAATTCCGTCGAATTAAAAATCAGAGTTTAGTGTGTTCGCTTTGTAGAGTTTGAAGACGTACTCGACGCGATCGACTCGGCTCTCGGACTCGAGTTCAGTACCCGGTTGACAGCCGGTGAGGCGGCGGTGTGACGTGGTGCCCTTATCGTATTATACGCGCACGCCGCCTCTGCGCGATTTTCTACTCATTGTAAATATTTTTTGTATACAATAGCAAGTTCTGCTTTAATCAAGATTGTTAGGGTGTGCACGTAAACTTATTTAAACAATATTTAACTTTTGTTAGTCGAAACATAACTTAAAACGCGGACCTTTGATACGTTATTTACTAATGAATAAATACAAGACGTCTCTTTGGTAAATTAAAATAACAGTGTACTTATTAAAAAACGGGTTAGTGATGAAAATTTGATTTTTAAATCCATGAAACTGTAGACCTGATGCAATAAATAGTACACCTACCCAATACGCCAGTGTGAGTAGTGTTAACCACTAATGGATGAACATAATGTGTCCGTACATTGTGACATAGTTTCAAGATTTTCAGATTCAGTGTAATGCAAAGAATCTATTTAAGTTGGTGAATAAACATCTACAATGGCGGATCGAGAACGTCCTGCGAAAACCCCCATTAGGGTGGGTTTTTATGACATCGAAAGGACCATTGGCAAGGGAAATTTTGCCGTTGTTAAATTAGCACGACATCGAATAACGAAGACTGAGGTAAGGCTACAAAAATATACATTATGTTCACCACGAAATATTTTTAATAATCTACATCACTCTCCTTACAAGTTTTTAGTCTTTATTTTGACCCCATGTAATATTATATCCAAATATGTTGTTAATAATACCTACTATGTATTCATAATGTATTAATATAGAATATTATTATACGTACATTAAACACCAAACGTTATCAACGCACCAAAAAGAGTGAATTTAATCAACCAGACTTCTGAGTCTTATCAGAGTCTAATAGGAATTCATAACTTAAGAAGTGCCTACACCCAACTATATTTTGGGAATTCGAAGAAAGAAACACCTATATAAAAGTTTTTAAATCAGGGAATTCCTTATTTTAATCTACCCGGGTATATTATACGAATCCAATTAAGGGTACAACACATAACAAGAATAACAACATGAGCTGATAGAGTTAAACAATTTGATAAATACTTTATGTTACCTTATGGTATCTTACGTTGCTGCAAGCAGGTGTAAATTACCAGTTTAACACATTCCAAACAATGGGGCCATTCGAGATAACGACAGTCAACAGGTGATAAATGAGATTTTAAAGACCTAAACACTTGTCTGGGATATCTGCACTAAAATAAAATTATTATCATTCAAATTAACGACAGAAGCCCTGAAGGCAGTCGAAAATATCGAAAAGTACCTAAATATAGTCCTACATAGTATAGGATTTTTTCATATCTTTATTTATTTCATTTATACCCACTTTAAATGAGACTGTCTCAGTTCTAAAAAGTATTTTTATAAAGTGTCTGTGATTATAATAACACTCCTGCGCATTAGATAGGGATCTACACTAAAAAGAACTGTAGAGTCACGAAACGTCTCTGTAAAGGTCATTTTTCTATTTGTACTTACTGTGGCGTGCTGTGCGTTACGTGGCTGATGTGTAGGTAATGGGTAAGTATGACCTACTTTTAAATAGATTATCTGAAAATGAACTAGGAGCTGAATCCACCAGACAACCTGCATTCAATTAAGATTAGAATGGACTCTACAATAGTTATCTACGTATCATCTTGCGGAATATACACATGTACCTACTGCTATCTTACACTTAGTGCTGTTTTAACTCTTCACTCAAATTTGTATGTAGCTATTTCAACTTGTTAGTTAGAACCTGAGCAAGGCAGCACAATATTAACATTATACTAATGGTTTTATTACTACTGTTTGTTACTGTTAGCTGTAGTCTACCTACGGCAACGAAGTGGGTCATTGGCCGAATACTGTGGCGTCGTCGCAAGTGACTCACTGCGTGCGTTTGGATGGACGACTTTCTAGCACCTGAATGCTGTGATTATTTTTTATAGGAAAACTTTGTGCGTTTTAAAGCTAAAACATTACGAAGATTAAAACCATTGTTGATTGTTTGGGAAATTCAGTAGTGATGACGCATAACAGAAAGTATACGAGGACGCTACATTGAATGAATGCACCAAAATAACACAACGAACGCCCTCGGCCTTCGTCACTCTCTGATTGAGTGCGTCTTTGATGTGTCGATGGAATGTTTTCTTGTTTATAAGCTTCATAGAGAGAGCATAATATGCAGTGCCATCAATAACCTAATCACCTCTGTCCACAATGTAAAAGACAAAACAAAACGCGGTAAATTACTAATACAAATCCAAAGTTTTAACTAATTTTGTGTGTACTGAATGTAAAGGAATCTTGTTCCCTTGGTAATGTTAAATAGCTCTGTGATGAAGATTAACATATCGTACAAAACAAAGTAGGTAATATCGGGTTTCGCTAATGTATTCTTCACTATTAATATTAATTATTATTTGTTTGGTAATATAAGGTATCGATTTTCATATTATAATTAATGTGATGATTTATGTAAATATGTTAAACCGGTAGGTACTAATAAATATTGTGTGGAGGATATTCTTGTTACACAAAAAAAAAGATGTGCCTATTTCAACTATTTCTAGCACATCTTTTAACTTCAAAATTAGAATTTGAGACAATGCATTTGGAGAAAAATGGCATGGTCATTATAAAAAAAAATACTATTGTTATAATTTTTGAAAGTCTAGTCTAGTCTTCTAGAAAAAGTGTGTGTGAACATTTTGGAGCAGGTATACGTCTGGCAAATATTTTGCCAGGAAATCATTTCGTATGGCACGTGCTGAGTTTGCTCTGGAGCCCGCTTGAAAAATGTACGCTTGACGCAAATGCGTTATCTATTTTGGAGCTCTGCGTCAGTAGCTCGGTGTTATCTGCGTTTTGCAGTCTGGCGGTCACCCTCCGAA